CCTTTTTGGCATGTTCTGTAGAAAGAAAAAGAAAAAAAATTGAAATCTTGTTGATTATACTCTCTAGTTTTGGAAAAAACAGCTGCCCTGAAGAAGGGTTTTTGTCTACCTTACGAGCGAGACAGAGAGCGGGCAGACGAGGGACTAGGAAGCCTTCGGATGTCTTAAGAATGAGGTTTTTCTTCTTCTTAGCAGTAAAATAGGATTGTACAGAAGAAGTGAGGGACAAAGTGAAGGAAGGGTAAGTCAACTTATATATAATGATGCATGTATAAGCATGGATTGCTTCTATTGGCAAGAATTTAATGTTGTTATTTTCAATTTTACTATGATTATACATTATGATTTCTTCTTTTAAAGGCATGGTGTCATATGAATGATGATGGGCTCAGCCGGTCCCAATATTCGCAATGATGTGCTTAGTTCGAACCGACTGAGCCCATCAGGCCACCATCAATTCTATTTGGTGTTAATTAATGTGTCATATAATTTGCTTTTCTTCTACCATTAATTATTTTCTTTGATCTCTTGTTATTGTAACTTTTTCTTCTAGCAACGATCGTTAAATAATATTATAAATCAAAACGAACGTCGCAATGAGAGTAGAAATCAATCTACCCAACATTAAGTCCTTGTTTGGTCCGGAGTAAAATCTGATTTTAATCTAAGTCAAAGTCATACAAGCAATATTAACAACATCTTTCATGGGTCCCACAACTTTTCAACCTCATATTTCAATTTTTTTTTATCACAATCTACTAAAAATCTAATTTTAATCCCCACCAAACACCCTCTAAATAGCTGGGCTGAAGTAGCGAAAGTTATCAGATTGTGGACTATTCAATTCTCTTTACGAAAAAACAAAGCAGCAAGAACCACAATTGAACTCTTGAAATAGATCACCAATATCTGAAGTCTGAACAAATTAGATCAGCAATGATCAAATATTGTGTTGCATTTAATGTTTGGTACATTACAAAACCATGAAAATATTTGTTCTTTTAGTTCCGAGGTTCAATAAATAGCATGAACGTTTTTTAAAGATAAGAACACGATAAAGAAATTTCCAAGAAATAACATAATAAAGAAGGGAAATTTATATACCTTTATCTAATTTCCTTAAAGATATCCCATAATGGTATTTCGTTTTAGAGTATATGATATTTATCATTACTGTTGATCAGCAGTTTATGTGGTAGTGAAGTTGTAATATATTTTTATTCATTGAACAATGTGACAAGGATATTGTTACTTAGATTGATCATCACGAGACATGATGATGATGAAAGGCATTGTTCTTTATTTTTTCGTGTCATGCAAAGAATTACAATTATTTTTGCTGGTATCAAAAGTTTAGCATCTTTTTCATAATAAGGGCAAGAGATTGGATATGTTGGGCCAAACCTAATCTCATTCAATTGAGTACATCAACGTGAAGCATCATAGCTTGATAGATAGTATTTTCTATGGGTGCATCATGCAACATGGCCATAACATTGTCTACTAGTTTACAATATCCATGTCAACATACTTTCAATATTATCCCGGCTGTTTTACCACAAAATGATAATAGATTTCGAAAGGCAGGAACGCAGAGTTAATTTATATGCAATATACGTAAATTTTACCGCAACGGGCATGTCAAATCGGATGCACCCATGACCCATGGCACCTGTACTTTTGACTCGTATTTCTTCTCTTTGTCCTTGTTTCACTTCGATAACATTGTTTAAGTAATGCTTCATATTTCTTTCGGCAGGAATTTTCCTCCACGACCCTGTCAGTTTTGTGGCATTAGTTCGGACTGATCTCTTTATGTACAAGAAAGGAGTTGTAAGGGTCGAAACACGGGGGATTTGTGTAGGGCATACACTAATGGATCAAGGACTAAAGAAGTATGATATTGCTAATATATTTTTGCTCACTCATATTCGACTCATGAAAAAGTATTTTAATTGCGATCCATTGTTGTGATGGAGATGGCAGTCGAGCAACCTGTGGTCGGACTTATCCCCTGTTTCGGTAGAATGGATGGTGAATGTGGTAGAAGTCTTAAATTATATTAGGGAATTGTTGATGAAACCTTGATTACTATGGGATTTTGCTATTCGATATCGTAATACACTTTGAGAAACAGTGAAATCAAATGGCAAATTTCTCTATTGTTAGACTGTTGTAGTTTTGCCTGATCATATAGTAACATACCTATGTAACTTCATCAAATGAATTGTTGAAGACATGGAATTACTCATATAATAGCATTCAGAAATATTTGATCTTTCATTGTTTAAATGGGAAATGCTAATGGAGTAATGGTGCAAGAATCTTATCGTTTTCGAAATATGTTCATCATCAGCATATCTGCATTTTGTACAATGTGAAATTATATTAGAAAGTGTGGTTTATCTAATCCACTAAAAAAGAAACGGTGAGAAAAATTAGGGGTGTTCAAAAGTCTCGAACCGAACTCGAATCGAACCGAACTGAACCGAGCGGTTCTTTATAAATTAAATACCCGAACGGGTACCCGAATCGAGAACCGATGGGTTTGGATCGGGTCTCGGGACTAGATCAAGAACCGAAGAACCGAAACTAAATAATTTTTTTATTTTTTATATTGAATTAAGTAAATTATTTTTTTTATATAAACAAATTAATAAATTAATTAAATAAAGAGGAAATTACACATATACCTGCTTTTAGATTTCCATTTTCATAAATCCTGATTCAAGTTCCACTTTTCAAAAATCAGGTTTTAATTAATAATTAAAAAAAAAATTTAATTTTTTTTTTACAATAAATTAATTTATATATATCTCAAACCCTAAAACCATTAACCCATAACCTTCTTCCTCCCGTCTCTCTCTGCGACACCACCACGACGCCGTCGCCGCCGTCTTCTCTTGCCCATTCCTCCCTTGCTGTTCTTTACCCATATCTCCACTCCCTCGCCATTGTCAAACCTTGAATCGACATTGAGGCGTCGTCTCATCTCCTCCCTCATCTCCCTTTCCCTGTTCTCTCGCCAGCAGTTGGGGCAGTCTCGCTACCGTCACCACCAGCCTCTCTCTCATCGGCGGTTGGGTGCGGTGGTGGTGTCTCAAGAACCCACCACCACTGGATCTGAAAACCAGATCTGCCTTGGTCGGGACGTCGTGGTGGTGATTTGGTTTTTTTTTTTTGGGCTGTGGTCCGGTATGGTGGAGTTATCACGGGAGAAGTGGGAGTC